AAATATCACACCTTCTACTTCAAAAATGGAAAGATTGTTAAAATATGTATTTTGAGTGGCCATGTTGATATAAAAACCAAAGCAGTGTGAAAGTAAAACTTCGGAGGATATATTTGAATAAGATAAGTACACAGATATCATTTAAGTTACGAAATTTGTAGAACAATCAAATAAAAATAAAAGGTTTGTATCAATTAATGATAATGATATAATTGTAGGGCAGACTGTATAACGATAAAAAAATGAAAAATTAAAATTAATTGAAAACAAGTATTTTTGCATCATATCACGTGGATGTATGTCCTAAGCATCTTAACTTTTGAGATACGGGGTGGTAAAATTTTCTAAAGAAAAAATGTTTTCGTGATGATTTTGATGGTACTACTTTTCATATGAAGCGGCAATACTGTAGCGGTGAAAAAGTAAGGTAGAATGAGTCAAAAAGTACCGCATGATCGAATAAAAACGGCGTCAAAGACTGCTGGGGAATGTCAAATATTAACACTAATTATAGAAAGATTAAAAAAGGATACAATAATGTTTCCTGACACAAAAATCTATTTCCAAAATTATTTCTTCTGGAATTTTAAACTACTTCATTTTATAGTTATTTTTTATACAAGACGATAAAATGGTATTTTATCGTCGTGTATATTTTTTTCCATAACGAGTTACTTTCCAAAAAATATTCAGAAATTATTATTTCAAGGAATTTATTACGAGTAGAAAAAATATTGTGCTGGGTTGGCGTTGGTTTCTATGTAATTTGACATGTAATTTGACAAATAAATAAAGCTGTCTCTTTAGTTGTTAGTTTTGAGTCAGTATTTTTTAATTCTCTTTCGTGTCGATTGCTGATTGAATTGGAGCCAGAAATGGCTCAAAACGAAATAAGTAAATTACCAACAGATATTCAGGCTGAGGCGACAAACGCCATATCCAAGCTACTTCCATTTAAATCCCGAATAACTTATGAAAAGGAATACAAAAATTTTCAAAAATGGAAGCAATTAAAAAACGTGCGAGAAGAAATAAAGTTTTTAACCTATCCTCGCTGTTAAAGTATCATTTAATCTACCCTTGTAGTTAAAGTACTATTTTTGATAAATATAAGGCAATTTTAACTATGGAAAAAAAGATAATATAAAAATAAATTACAACTTTCTTAAGGTCAACATTAAAAAATAAAGTACGGGCCTAGTAAGTGACGTTTAGGGCTTGACCTCGCCAAAATTATCATCGATTATCATTCCCCAGCCAGTCTTTGACGCCGTTTTTTTTTCGATCGCATGATACCACATTTTAGTTCCGCCTGTACAAAAATAAAACAAAAATCAAATTGGAATAGAATCACCCATATTTCGAAAATATGTAACTGTACTTTGTTGGTACTCTCCCAGTCTAATTATAACCTTTTTGCTGCGGTAATTGACGTTCTGGTATCAAACCTAGATACTCCGGGTAATTACAAGCTGAAGAAAGTACCATTAATCTTTCACCGGTACCATTTGGTAAGTACATAATTCAGTTGAATTCCGTTGAAACGAGTTGAGGAATAATCTATTTACATTAAGTAATTATATAATAGTTGCAATTAAAGTAATTTAGTGATGTAATTATATAGAAATAAGTAGAGCGAATTTTATATTGTCAAAATAGTGAACAATTTTCAAATTAGATACTTAGAATTTAGATAAGCTTTTTTATTCTTAAAATTAAAATAAATTAGTATATGTTTTTTGTGATATAATACCGTATGATCAAAGAAAAAAGGACGTCAAGTTAGGTGTTAGAAATTATAAGACCTAATCAGCAAAGGCAGAAAACTGTCAATGCTGTATTAACAGTGTATTGTAAGCTTATTATGCATCTAAAGCTGATAGAATTGACTTCGTCCGACATGTGCAGATTTTGTCAATCTCTGAAGAAGAAACGACAAAACACAAAACTACAATGGCTACTGTGACAGCGTTATTTTCAACCATACAGTATTTTGATGCTTTTGGCTATAGAAAATTATGTCAAACAATTTTCTGATTTTTTTGCCATAAATACCGTCTGGTCGAAAAAAATAAAGGCGTCAAGTTGGCTTAGAAATGACGATGAATGACGATGAATCCATATAATTTAACATATAGAATTACAGTAATCTTAATTTCTAAGCTAACTCTGATGCCGTTTTTTTTTAATTACCGTTAATTTTGTAGAATACCCAACGATTTTAGAATAAGAAATAGAACTAAAAACATAATTATTTGCTATTTTCTTATTGTGTTTCTAAAATTCTAAAATTATCAAAAAATCATCACTTTTTTTAGTAATGTTCTTTAGAAAAATTGCATATTTTCAAAATTGCATTTTTTCATTTTTTTTAATATTCAGATTGTCCAGAATATCACTAGAATTCTTAACATAATTTTTGAAACATCATGTCTTAATGCTTCAAAGGCTACTGTGACGGCGTTTTTTCGACCATACAGTATTTTGATGTATTTGCCTATCGAAAATAATGCCAAACAATTTTCTGATGTTTTTTAATACCCTGATCGTTGTACAGGGTGGGTCAAATTCGACGCTTTTTAATGGAACGGTGTCTGGAGCTCAATTTTCATCAAAAACATGATGGTGAAAACCGCACATCAATATCTGTTACCGTTTCGGAGTTACGGGGTGTTTTTCAAAAATGTGCATTTTTAACAAATCGCTGTAACTTTTTTGCCATGGATAATTTTGTATTTCTATGAAAACATTTCCAAAGCACCTTTTTACGTAGAATTTAATGGTTTAAGTATAATTTTTTTAAAGTTAATAATTTAAGAGTTATCAACAGAAAAATTAATTTTTTATTTGGGACGCCAGCTATATTTTTAATTAACTGAAAAGAATTTAAAATTACCTTTCCAAAAATATAGCACACTTGATATTTTGTTATAATCCCCTTCGAAATACAGACTTTTTAAAAGTTCGCCACTTTTAACTAGTAGGCTTTGGACCCCTTATTGATGATATGCCCTTAATGGAACTCGAAAACATATTTTTCCAGCAAGACGACGCACCGCCTCTGAACGCTGAAGTTATCAGCAAATTTTTGCAGCCAATTTCAAGAATAATTGGATAGCTAACCAAGATCCCAGCCGTTGGCCGTCGAGGCCGCCTGACTTAGTGCCCATGGATCTAATCCTATGGATATATTTGCGGAAGAATAAAGGTTCCTTATTCTTCCCTATAATCTAGACAAGAATTAAAAATACTTAGCAGTTATGAGAGGGTATCTTTCACCCCCACTGAGTTAATGAATTCCGCGAGAAATATTCAAAAACTGCCCCGTCTGTCCATAACAGAAGACGGTCGATATGTCGAACACCTGTAGCAAAATCTCATGTCTTGGTTTGCTATTTATTTTTATTGTTATTAGATAGTTTAAATGTGTTGATGTTGGTTAAATATATTTTAAATTGTTATAAAATTCTGTATATCTCATAGCAAATATTATTTTCGTTTTAATTGATGCTCACAGCTAGAATTTTTTGCATTACAGCCGGTGCCGTTCAAAGCCTACTTATTTAAAGCGGGCGAATTTTTATATACTCTATATCTCGAAGAGGAATCGAGCAAAATATCTTGTGTGCTATATTTTTGGAAAGGTAATTTTAAATTCTTTTCAATAAATTAAAAATATACGGGGTGTCCTATATAAAAAATCAAACTTTCTGTTGATAATTCTTAGATTATTAATTTTAAAAAAATATACTTAAACCATTAAATTCTACGTAAAAAGGTGCTTTAGAAATGTTTTTCATAATTTTCCACAGCAAAAAAGTTACAGCGATTTGTTAAAAATGCATATTTTTGAAAAACACCCCGTAACTCCGAAACGGTAACATATATCGATATGCGGTTTTCACCATCATGTTTTTGACAAAAATTGAGCTCCAGAGACCGATATTAGTTTTTGTCTATCTCCTATAGAAAAGGGTGTTTACCTTTAAAAGCGTCGAATTTGACCTACCTTGTACAATAAATAATACCGTCTGATCGAAAAAAAAACGGCGTCAAGTTAGCTTAGAAATGACGATCAATGGTATTCTCCATATAATTTTAGACATATAAAATGACAGTGATCTTCATTTCTAAGCCAACTCTGACGCTGTTTTTTTTTAATTTACGTTAATTTTGTAGAATAACAACGATTCTGGAATAAGAAATAGAACTAGAAACAATAGTTATTTGCTATTTTCTTCTTGTGTTTCTGAAATTCTAAATATAATAAAAAAAATCGTCACTTTTAAATATTTAAAAAAGTGGCATATTTTTATTTTTTTAAATATTTAGATTATCCAGAATATCACTAGAATTCTTATCATAAATTTTTAAACATCACGTTTTAATGCTAAAAGAAAAAAATCTTGTAGGTATATATATTTTTCAACAACGCTTTTTTTAAAAAAAAATTTCATTAAAAAAAAAATAACATCTTGATAATATAGCAACATAGGTACTAGATTAAACTTAGAGAGACGAAGATCCAGGAAAAAATCCTGTTATAAAAATTTAAGGAATAATAATTTCTTTTTTTTTGAAAATTTTTAAAGTAATATATCTCAGCAACATTAGTCTTACATATTTGAAAAACTGTAAAGAGAAAATATGTTTTTTTTATCGAGATCTACCAGCCCTGAAAATATGTGCAGTTATTTAAAACTCACTCTGTATAATTAATAAAAACAATAATAATTTATGCGTCTACCAATAATTGTTTTACTAGTTGTAAACAAATAATCATAAATTCTTTTTTAATTGCAGAAAGTTATATTTTATGAAACTCTTGGGGCTATATATTTTAAAACCATAAATAAGAAAACATAAAGTCAAACTTTTTAATTTTTGAGTAATCTTATAAAGCGTATTTTTTTGTAAAACTTGAATTTAAAGAGATATCAAAATACATTATACATCTTTAAAAATATTGCCAATTTTGTATTAACAGTCTATATACGTACCAATCATGATTTTGACATATTCCTAAATCAAGGACATCTCCAAATTACACATCCTTCAAATTTAGGTACTACCGTCACTTTTTTTGAAATAAAAAAATGTCACTTAAACCCCAATCAATTTTTAAGATAAAGCTTATTAACAGACACACTACAAAAACCACGAAAAATACAATTTTAATTATGAATTTAAATAATGTCTGTGACGCCAAAGTACGTGGTACCGCTTGGCGAAGAAACACCAGTTAACTGTTTTGGTACTCTCTCTCTCCCCGGGTACCATCGATGTTGGTACCGGACACGCAGTCACGAGCGAAGAATTCCGTACCAACGTTCGAAAGTCAAAAGTTACTAATGGAAGGTACCGCCGCAGTCGGTGGTGGTGGGGGTAGAGACGAACTGGAAAGAAATTTTGATGATTTTACTTTGTATTCTGCATTTTTTTTTCATTAATTTAATGTGTAAAGTCGATTTAGTGGACTGTATAGATGAAGTACTGAGTCATTTTGGGCTTTTAACTTCACATCATTTTGACCTACTTCTATTTTCTTTAAAATAATATGATTTATAGTTGTTCAGTGACCCCAAGCTTTTTAAAAAAAACTTATACAGGGTATGTTCACTATACCCATATACAGGGTTGTTCACTACATACAAGCATACAACACGGAGTATTGTAGCTAAATGATTAGATTTTTACAAATTGTAAGTTTTGGGTTCCTTGAAGGACTATTAGAGCTACAATATAAAAATATTTTACAAGATACAGATTGTTCCAAATAAGTAAAAAGTATTATAGTTGTATTTTTTAAATGGAACACCCTGTATATTATTTTATTTTTAGATTCTACGATTGAAATAAAGGTAACCGTTTTCAATTTTGAGAAATTACAGTAACAAATTTAACGCTTATTCATTTCTTCAAGGGTATCAACGTTTCTGATACTAAATATTTACTGAAGATTATTTATTGATCAGATATTGTCTTGCAATAATAAACAAAATACTACCTTATAAAGGGTGTTTAAAAATTTATATTAAATAATTACTAACTTTAAACGACAATAGTTTAATTTAAATGGAACACCCTGTATATTTTACGAGAATCAGATGCACAATTTAATTGTCTGTCAAATAGTATTATATCATTTTTACCTATCTCTTCAAGTTTTCGTAGAAAATGCATTTTCTTGCAACACAATATCTGATCAATAAATAAACTTTAGTAAATATTTAGTATTAAAAAAAACTTTAATACCCTTGGAGAAATGAAGCCTTAAAATTTTTACTGCAATTTCATAAAATTGAAAATAATTCAAAAACGGTAAGGTTTAAGTGTGATAAACCTTAATCAATTTTACCTTTATTTCAATCGTAGAATCTAAAAATAGATTAATATACAGGGTGTTTCGTTTAAAAAATACAACTATAATATTTTTTACTTATTTCGGACACTCTGTATCTCGTAAAAATATTTTTAAATTGTAGCTCTAATAGTCTTTCGACGAACCCAAAACTTACAATTTGTAAAAATCTAATCGTTTAGCTACAATAATACTCCGTGTCGTATGTGGTGAACAACCCTGTAGATCTATTGTGTTCACATTTCTTGAGTTATAACTCATCATACAGTCTCTGGGCTTTGACAAAAGCCAGTACCTAAGACGGTGTTATAGAGGTTAAGAAAGCTGGTTCTATAATATATCTTTTGCTATGCTCTCCTGACCGAAGTGCGATAAATCTGGCTGCCGCATGCCGGTAGACTACAGCTGTTTACTATTGCGCATCACATCAGTAAGGCTATCCCATTTTTGTGTGTTTTATAGGATTTCTCGTTTATAAGTACAGATACAATAATGCGATTTTAACATTATTTTGCTACTTTTGTTTTTGAAACTAAATATACTACACTTATGTGTGTCCTAGCCTCTTTAGTTCCTGAAATACAGGGCAAATTTGTGATGCGCAGTAGTGAACAGATGTTGGATACAGATATGACGCGCAGTAGTGAACGTTTACCGGCAGCCGGACGGTCCGCATTCTGTTCAGGAGAGCAAACCAGCTTTCTTAAAATTCTCTCTCGAACACGTTTCTAGCTCTTAGACTATAAGTAAAACAACGAAATCTCGTTATGGAAATGAAAATATAAAATGACACCAATCACAAGAAAATCGTACGTCCGATGAACGGAGGCATGAAAATGTAATAAATTTAAACACTGTAATTTTCTAACCAATCGAAGTCTTTAAATTCAACCACTAAAATTAATATCGTATCATCGGATCGTCGGATAACGGATGCATGAAAATCAAGTTTAAGTCGTATCTTTAAAGTACGAGGCATTTAAGCTGGACCCCATTAGACTACACGCCACGCCACGATATATCTCGTAATCCCACGTGTTGCGACGTGAAAAAGAGTGTACACATGAGATCTGGGACAGACGAATCTCCCATCTCACGTGTGATAGCGTGAGATGGCGTGGGGTGGCGTGGGGTGGCGTGGGGTGGCGTGGGGTGGCGTGGGGTAGCGTAACGATGAAAAAACATACGCACAGATCTTCATGACGTGGGGTGACGTGGCGTGGCATGGCATAGCGTGGCGTGGCGTGGCGTGGCGTGGCGTGGCGTGTTGCCTAATGGAGTCTCGGCTTTAGTCTCTTCAATATACGATTCACCGCATTCACAAGTTACCTGGTAGATACACTCTTTTTCTTGTTTCAATGACTCCAGTCTTCTTTTTGTTATGACTCTTCATAGAGTCGATCCAGATTTAAAGACAGTTTTGATTTTGAAGAGGATGCTCTCTCTCTTGACTATTCCATCCAAAAGATCAGGCGAATAGCCAAATATTATAAAAATAAGCTGTCTTCAAACCTGGATCGACCTATCGTTGAAAATATAGAAAAATAGTTATTTTTTATACAAAACGATAAAATGGTATTTTATCGTCGACCGAAAAGATTCATTAATGAATTAATTTCGGGGACGATAATGCAATTTTATCGTCATGTATAAAACAATATCTTTTTCCATAGCGAGTTACGTTTTAAAAAATATTCAAAAATTATTATTTCAAGGAATCTATTACGAGTAGAAAAAATATTGTGCTGGTTTGGCGTTGGTTTCTATGTAATTTGACAAGTAAATAAAGCTGTCTCTTTAGTTGTCAGTTTTGAGTCAATATTTTTTAATTCTCTTTCGTGTCGATTGCTGATTGAATTGGAGCCAGAAATGGCTCAAAACGAAGTAAGTAAATTACCAACAGATATTCAGGCTGAGGCGACAAACGCCATATCCAAGCTACTTCCATTTAAATCCCGAATAACTTATGAAAAGGAATACAAACATTTTCAAAAATGGAAGCAATTAAAAAACGTGCGAGAAGAAATAAAGTTTTTAACCTATCCTCGCTGTTAAAGTATCATTTAATCTACCCTTGCGGCTAAAGCACTATTATATCTACTATTTTTGATAGATATAAGGCAATTTTAACAGTTGCTATGAAAAAAATATTATTAATTAATTGATTAATTCAACTATAATATCATTTAAATATTAAATATTCCTTTTAAAAAATAAATACTAACTCAAACCTTACTTCCACCTACCACTACCATCTGCCATGGTCACCTACCATCTCTCCTCCTACCAACTGACTTTACCTGTGTAACAGTATACCTGTCCGATCCGCTCAGGTAATATGGCTAAGGTTTCTTTTATCAGCGCACAACAAAAGCAGCTTTTCACTTGACAAACAGTGGAAAAATGTAAATTCAAGGGACATAAAGGTACCTGTCGTCTGTAAGGTTGTTGGTAACAGGTTGATAAGGATTTTTTTGGAAATTTAGGAGGTTTTTTGGCAGAATTCAACATGATCGGGAGTGACTATACTTTGGACCTGTGTAATGTGTTTTATTCTGGTCAGGTAAGTTGATAAATAATGAAGTAAATAAATAAACAAGTTTAATTATCGGTGAAAGAAATATATATGCGTGATTTTAAGTAGGTTTAAATTAAATCTTGTTGCAGTTTGGTTTAATGAGGAAGTATTTTTTTTTAATTTATTAGTATTAAATATGCAATTATTAACATTTCTCAAGCAGGTGTTAGCGGATATATTATAAATTTCTATGGTTTTTAATTTCTATTTTACCTTTAAGATGGTAGTTAAACCTACTTTCTTTAATTTCATTAAATATGTTACAGGGTGTTGCGCCTTAAAATGCGATAAAATAAATTTAAACTATAAGAAGTTTTGTAAACCTAACTTTCAAAACTTTATTTTTGTTTTTTCCAATACCAAAAATGAAAATAGCATTCCAAAAAATTATTGTTGATTCGCTGTAAAATTCCAATTTCTAATTAATAATGTCTATACCGTCTGGTTTTTGAATTGGAATTTTTGAAATTTTCTACATATTAAGCTTTCTTAAAATTGTAAAATTTCAATGTATTGAAGCTGGAACAACGAATTATTGAAGAAAAAGAACACTTTTTTTGGATATTGTCATATGAAACTAATCAAAAATAGACTAAGACGAAGAAATAGACTAAACTGTTTGGTTTAGACAAGGTGGTTAAATTATTATCTACACGAACTGTAATTAATTTCTTATACATAATACATACAAGGTGTTTCAAAAAACATGTGCCATCTCTCGTGAGGAGATTCGTCACGTAAAAATAAGACTTATTTTTCATATGAACATAGATCAGATTCTGCTTTGTTTCGTAGCTACAGGGTAAAATAAAAACACTAAATCACCACAATACACCAAAACACTTTTTCTTTTACACTGGACGCGCGTTTCGCTAACCATGTTAGCATCATCAGCAGATGATTATAAACTAAAGTACAATCTACAAGGTGAGCGTTTATATACTCGCTCAGTGGGCCCCGAGTGGGCGTGGCAAAATCTAGCCAACCGAGTAAGAGCCAACTGAGCGTAACAGTTAGATTTCCGCCACTAGAGTAGTAGGAACAAAGAACTTGAAGGAATTGGACCGTTGACTCTGTTCATACTATCTTTACATTTATTAATTCTGATGCTTTCATATGCATCTAATTGCCTGTAATTTGAGACTTGTTTAATTAATTTTAAATTATTAAGATCTATACAATGTTCATTATCAACAATATGTTCGGCAACGCAAGATTTATCCGGTCTACCATATCTTATCTGAGCTAAATGTTCTTTAAATCTAGTTAATATTGATCTCCTAGTTTGCCCAACATATTTCTGATTACAATCTTTACAAGAAATTTCATAAATACCCGACCTTTCCAGTGGAGGTGTTTTATCTTTTGGATTACCTAATAATTGTTGTAATTTATTATTAGCACTATACACAAGTTTATATTGACATTCTTAAAAATTCCTTTTAGACCACGGGATAACTCTCTATCAAACGGTATCGAAAAATATTTAGACGTATCTTTCTCCACTTGAAAAGTCGAATTTTCAGAAATCATTAACCTATACCTACGTTTTCTAATTAATTTATCAACTAGTGAAGGAGAATATCCATTACACTCAGCTACATTCCTAATGTAATCTCTTTTTATTTCATATCTTTCGTTGGAAAGTGGGAAACTATGTAATCTATGAACTAAGAAATTTAAACTAGCCATTTTATGTTCAACACTATGATGTGATTCATTAGGAATATATCTGCCTGTGGTCGTATTTTTCCTATATATATCAAATTCCAGGCAATTATTAGTATTTCTAATAACTAATATATCTAGAAATGGTAATCTGTCGTTGTTCTCAATTTCATGTGTAAATTTAATGGAAGGAAAACGATTATTTAACTTAGAAATAAAATTATCTATGGTGTCTGAATGTGTATCATAACATGGTTAGCGAAACGCGCGTCCAGTGTAAAAGAAAAAGTGTTTTGGTGTATTGTGGTGATTTAGTGTTTTTATTTTGCTGTGTAACACCAAAGGTTCCAACCCTCAACTGTAAGCTACAGGGTGTTAAAGTCTTAATAATATTTCGATTTATTATAATTTTCTTCCAAGTACTTTTAGTGATTCGAATGAAATTTTGGGGGTAAAAGTTACTATAAGTGTTACATATTTTAATGCTAAAAAAGTGTCAATAAATTTATCAAGGACGTGCATATGGGTTATCACTGGAATATTTAAAAAAAAACATGTGCGCCACTGACTTTTATTTTTTGATCTCAAAATTGTGTAGGCCGTTTAATGCCAACTAAATGTTATCTCTTGATATTTTGTCCAGTTTGGCTTCCCTGATGAGATAAACGCAATTTTATTAATCACAATCAATAAAATTAAAATTAAAATAATATGTATTAATAAATTATATATTTCATCTAATTTATTATTAAATATTATTACTATTAGCCTTGGCTATTAGTTATTATTACTATCAGTCCAACATAGAGCAGTTTCAAATAAAAAAAATAATGCTATTTAAGATAATTTCAAAAAACCTAATTTTAAAAAGTTTTAACATCCTGTAACTCTAAAACTATGCATTTCCATTTCCATGTATATAGGACCTTTTTTTCATATTTTTTGATGAGGAATCAATTAAAACTTTCGCAAGTTAATGATATTGAAATTTTTTAAAGGTTGCTATTGAGCAAAATAAAACACTAAATCACCACAATACACCAGCCGTTTTCTCTAAATTTCCCGAATAAAAATAAAAAAATATATACTTTGGATAGGATTTGATTGAAATCCGTTCTTTGTGAGTGTCTATTTTGAGTATGGAGTAAATATACCAAATTTCATCTCAATCTGGAATATAGTTTTTGAGATATTATGAAATAGTTTCAGTATTTTAGAAATAACTTTAGTATTCCATTGCTCATAAAAGTACTCACTTTTGACGTCATTTTGGAATATTTTATAATTATATTTTAATTGTTAATATAAATGGAAATAATAATAAAAAATATACAAGTGTTAGTAGATTTAATAATTAATTTATTAAAATCATATGACAATCTAATAAGGTCGAGCCTTATATAGGTCGAGCCAGGAACATGCATGCAGAGGGTTATAGGAAACATAAAAACTGGAATCATACTAAAAGATGTGTCCATGACCGTGAATTCTGGAGAAGTTCTAGCAGTCTTAGGATCAAAAGGTAAGGATTCAACACAAAACTAACAATCAAAATTATCAAACTACATAGACTAAATTAGATGTTTGATATCATTCATTGTCTAATACAAAGGAACCCCATATTTGCCAGGCTGTTGCACGTTGTACTGACATAAAATCTGTTTGGTCATCTTTTCTTCAGATTAGATGCCATTTTGATATGCCATTCAAAAAACATAAGGATTTTAGTATATTAATGAATCGAAAATTAAACACGAAAATAATAAAAGAAAAAAATAAAAATAAATAACGATATAAATAAAAATTGATTACATTACTATCAAATTATTAAAGAAAAATATTATAAAAAGTTTTATATTTTAGGTAGTGGAAAAAAAGCTTTGCTTGATGTCATTTCCAGAAGAGTGCAGGGACCAACCAGAGGACAGATCTTGCTGAACAACCAACCAATGAGCTTGTGCCTATTTCAGCAAAGATGCGGATATGTAACACACAAATGCGACCTTATACCCGGCTTGACAGTGGAGCAAACATTGTATTACACACCAACAAGGGTAAGAAAAAATACAGTTTTTATTGGTTATATTTTTTTTATAATTATTATTAAATTTGTTTCTTCTTGTTTTATTGATTCCATTTTACTAAGATGTTTAGATTCCACAGTTTGCAATCTTTTCCAATGTTTATTGTTTTCTGTTTTAGTTAACTGGTTATTTGAAGAAATCGAAAGTGAAACAAGTAATGGCAGATTTGGCCTTATCGCAAGTTTCAAACAGATGCGTTGAGAACTTGTCAAAAAGCGAATATAGAAGACTGATGATAGGAATACAATTAATTAAAGATCCAAGTAAGCACAAATTTACCAACTTGGGACAATACCATTTATTAACTTGTTCAAATTAGTTCTTGCGCCAAAAATAAAGTTTTTAACTCAAAGACTAAACCATCTTCATTGATTGGGAAGATATATTAGATTAAATATATTGTCAAAGCTGTAGTGGGTCTACTAATAGGGCATTGTATGATTAAACTTGCCTAAAAAATGATTAATTAAATATAATCTTTATTATTCTTATGACTTTTTTTTATTATTTTGATAAAATCTGCTTTTATCAATTATTTAAACATGAGTGACAGAACTAAAAATATAGACTTATTAAAAATGGTTTGATGTTTTTTTAGTTATATTGCTCTTGGATGAACCAACTTGGGATCTAGATCCATTGAATACATATCTCGTGGTGTCCATTCTATCAAATGCAGCTAAAAAGTATGGTGCAGCTATAGTCCTGACTATGGAGAAGCCAAGATCTGATGTTTTTCCTTTCTTGGATAGAGTATTGTACCTCTGTCTAGGTAAGTAATACTAAATAAATAATTTTAATAAGAAATATACTTCTAGCAACTATAAAAAATATAAAATATTAATATTGGCATCAGCGTTGTATCATTTAAATTGTATTATAGTAATAATTTTAAATAATTGTAATGCCTATTAATAGTTTTTCATCTAATTAATAATAAATTTATTAAAATTACTGGAAAATTATTAGTTAAAAGCGACAGCTTATTTAATACCGTCTTTTTTAACGCTTGCAAATGGCAAGCATAAGTTAGCAGGCTGGTTATCAATAAGCTGTGATTTTAATGAAGCTTAGAACCTTTCTTTAACCTCAGAACATAAGATAAGCGAATATCTAGGGGTACCAAAGCATATTCATAACCAGCCTGTCGACATGTAAATGATCGGCAGGCTGGTTATGAATAGGCTGTGCTGTAACTACACTCGTGAAATTTTAATTAAGTAATAATTGACGAGTGTAGTTACAATGTCATAAATAAAACCAAAAAGAAATCCGGCAATGATTTAATTTTATGTAGGGTAAATACAAAAAAAATAACGACAAACGAATATTTTAATATCTATACTAATATATAAAATCCTTAAATGACTGACATACTGATTAATCACGATCCTGCTCAAACCACTCAACGTAATAAGCTCAATTTTGGCATACAGGTTGATTCTAGGTGTCGAGGTTCGATAAGAAGGGATTTTTCGAAATTCCAGTTCCAAGTGTGTGAAACCATCCCTCAAATATTACAATATTTTTTATTTAAAAAACGGTCAAGTTTCCGAAAAAACGCTTAAACACGTATATTTTATTTTGTTTTTTACATATTTTAAGATTTTTTAAAAATGTATACAGGGTGTTTTGAAAAATCTGGTCATTGATTAATCACGATCCTGCTTAAAGCGCTTGACGTAAAAAGCTGATTTTTGGAAAACAGATTGACTTTAGGGTGTAGAGGTTCGATAAGAAGGTATTTTTCGAAACTCGAATTCTAAGGGGGTGAAACTATCCCTCAAATATTAAAATATTTATATTTAAAAACCGGTGAGTTTTTCAGAAAAACTCTTAAACATGTATATTTTATTTTGTTGTTTTACATATTTTAAGATTTTTTATAAATTTATACAAGGTGTTTCATAAAATATGACCATTGAGCAATCACGATTCTGCTTAAACTGCTTGACGTTTAAAGCTGATTTTTGGTAAACGGATTGACTGTGGGGTGTAAAGGTTCGATAAGGAGGGGTTTCTGGAATCTCAAATTCCAAAAGGGTGAAAATGCCCCTCAAATATTACAATATTTGTTATTTAAAAAACGGTTAGTCTTTCGGGAAAACGCTTGGACAATCATAATTTATTTGCTTTTTTACATATTTTGAAAATAATTCTGCTTAAACTGCTTGACGTAAAAAGCTTATTTTTGGCAAACGGATTTTTCGAAAGTCAAATTCCAACGAGATGAAACTACTTCTCAAATATTACCAAGTTATATAATAATATCGCCATATTGTTTTTTCTCATGCTGACATAAATGTGAGAAAATTTTATCCAGTTTGTATGTTAATGGAAATTCTTGCTTTGCTTTATCATTACCATTACAAATGATTAATTCGACGCGAACGAAGTCGCTGGTACACGCTAGTACAAAATAAATAATTTTAATAAGAAATATACTTGCAGCAACTATAAAAAATATTATCAAACATTAATATTGACATCAGCGTTGTATTATTTAAATTGTAGTATAGTAAGGATTACAAATGGCAATGTTTATTATCAGTTTTTAATCTAATTAATAATACATTTATTAAAGTTACTGAAAAATTAGTTAAAAGCGGCAGCTTATTTAATACCGGCTTTTTTAACGATTGCAAATTAGATTGGCGTCTAGCCCCAGCAAGGCAACTATTAAGCTTTGGTTAGCGTGGTTATTTGGAGGGTGTTAATTCATTGGTTAGTTGGTTATTTGGTGGTGTTAGTTGGTTTTCACTAATTTATATTTGTTTTTTAGATATTCATTGATTTTCTTTATTTGTTTGTAATAAATTATATAGTAGGTCACAGCTGTTCTGTATCCGCTTTTGTCAAAAACTCTAACGTGATTGGTCAAGCTTAATAGTTGCCTTGCTGGGGCTAGACACAAGTCAAATTAGCATAAGTTGGCAGGCTGGTTATTAATAGGCTGTGATTTCAAATCCTTAAAACTCAGAACATAAGATAAGCGAATATCTAGGGGTACCAAAGCATATTTATAACCTGCTTTTCGACATGTAAGTGATCGGCAGGCTGGTTATGATTTATATTATGATAGGCTGTGCTGTAACTACACTCAAAATATTTTTATTAAGAGTCTATTACGTTGTACTTTCGGGTCACTCTCAGGGGTCGGGTAAAGCGGATGTATGGCCTAAGGAAATATGTATTATATTTCAGAAATCTGCCTAAATCTTAGCCTGATCCTGTCGTGTTAAGCCACACCCAAAATTCCAAACACACGTGCTTTGATTAAGGCTTGCAGAGCTTCAGCATTTGCCATAAAATAGTGAGCAATTTGTTACAAAACCATATTTGTAACAAATTGCTCACAACAAATTATATATCACTATAATCACATAACTTCAATCTATTTCCGTATTGTAACGGAATTTTAAATTATGTCTTTATTTTCGAGGAAATTTAGTCCAATCATAAGGAATATTTTGTTGATGATTGACCATCAAAATCTTAAAAATAAAAGAGTTGTCTAAAAATGTGCTACAATACGGATTAAACCATATCCTTTATCTTCAATTTTCTTCTTCATTTGTGTAAAAATACGTAGCCAGTTTTACATAAAACGTTAAGGTGCGTATTCATTATCCGAACGAACGAACGAACGAGCGAGCGAACGAATGGAATTCGGTATATTTGGACGATGGACCGAACGCATGCGGTCGTTCGTTTGTTCGTTCGCTCGGCCATCCGTTTCGAGTCGGTACATCAAAGGCGTTCGCAAACGAATGGGTTAAGGTGTTTTCGTTTGGTTGTGAATGAAAGTGCGGTAAGGTGCGTATTCATTATCCGAACGAACGAACGAACGAACGAACGAATGAAAGTGCGGTATATTTAGACGGGGACCGAACGCATGCGGCCGTTCGTTCGCTCGACCATCCGTTTCGAGTCGGTACATCAAAGGCGTTCGCGTCCGGTCCTCTCGTGCGGTTCTATCGTACGGTCCCCGTCATACCACTAGCGAACATTCGTTCGTTCGTTCGTTCGTTCGGATAATGAATACGCACCTGTATATTTAGACGGAGACCGAACGCATGCGGCCGTTCGTTCGTTCGCTCGACCATCCGTTTCGAGTCGGTACATCAAAGGTGTTCGCGTCCGGTCTTCTCGTGCGGTTCGTACGGTCCCCGTCCATACCACTAGCGAACATTCGTTCGTTCGTTCGTTCGTTCGGATAATGAATACGCACCTTTAAATGCCGAACGCTTATTTTGCTACTTTTTCGGACTTGTGAAATGGACTTTAAAGTAGTGATGAGTGAAATATCGGTAACTGTGATTTTGTCACTGATATTCTATAATCACAGTCACGGCCTGTGACTGATTTGAAAATAAACGGTGACTTGCTAAAACGTGACGATTACAGTTAATTGTGATTTCTCTGGTAACGAGAAAATACTTCACAGAGCGGGACGTCGCTCGTCGCGAACGCAGCTTCCGATGGCGCCGGTCGCCACTCAGTTCACAGTCACGAGTCACGACGTACGTCTCATAGGATAGATATCTGACAAAGTGATCTAAAGACAGTGACTGTTAGAAGTGATTTAATTTTTTATGTATTTTATATTTTATTACTATTTTTTATCACTACGAATCGGTTTGGTTCCTTTTTAGTTTAGCAGGTTTTTTTAAAGACAAACATAAAATTTTACCTTTATACTGTTTATTTTTTTTTAGAAACTTCATTTTTTATATATTTCGTTTATTTTAATACAAAGGAAAATATTTGTTGTTTAATGTATTACTTATCTCGTGTTGTTAAGTTTCGTTTGTTATGGTTATGAGCATATTGCATATGTTATTCTTTTCCCGTTGGTTTCTTTAAATAAAAAAATTGTTTTATTTTTATTTTTTAATATACCTTTTACCCACTGTTTAGTGTTTTCTATTTCAGCGGCCTTGGATAAAGAACAAATAAAAATTAGTATAACAACAACAACAGAATCGTATCATTCGTATCGTATCTTATATTTTAGCCGTGATTGTGCTTTCGGATTCATAATCATAAAGTCGCAGTCACAGTTAAGAGTCACAGATAATACAAAGTCGTTGTCACAGGTAAGCCTGTGAACAGAAAATCACGGTTTGGCTCATCACTACTTTAAAATACAATGTCATAAATAGAACTAAAATGAAAATCGGCAATAAATAATTAAAAAAGAAATTTTAATAAATTTCAATTAAATACTCCAGTCAACTTTATTAAATATGTTTTTTCTTTATAAGGTGATGCTGTGTATGCTGGTGGGACAAGACATATGCTTGAATATTTTGACGCTATTGGATTTCCTTGTCCACAGTTGGAAAATCCCCTTATGTATTACTGTAAGTAAAATGATTACAATATATTTTTAAACAAAATTACAGAACTAGAGCGCATTGAATTCGAAATTATAAAGAATGAACTGTCCAATAACAGAATAAAATAGTTACAGCTATTTTCTGTCATTTTAGTTAAAAATTATTCGTGTGTCTATTAATTTTTGAGTGCCCTCTGTCAAAATCGTTATCTCGCTGGATATAAACTCTATCTATTACTATAAATGGATGTTAAAAATAAATTAATTTTAGTGTGCCTTTCTACCGTGGATCGAAGATCCAGAGAAAGATTCCTTGAGAGCAACCACCAAATAGCAGCTTTGGTCGAAAAATTCAAAATCGAAGGTGGTTCATACAGGAAAGGTACTTCAATCAGTCCTAGCCATGTTCCAGAACATAAAATGCCTCTATTACTTGGAAAAATTGGATCATTTAACGTCGCATGGACCGTTTACATGTAAGTAAAGTCTTGAAATTGAAAAAAAAAATCTAATAATCTTTGTTCCTGTCAGGTAAAACGGTTCAAATTCTTACCCTGTATAAATATACTTACTTATAATATGACATATAATTTACTTTTTATTCTTTATTTGTTTTTTTACTAGGAGACTATTAGCTGCAAGCTTTTCATTCAGGAAAGAAGGCCTTAAACAGATTTTCCTAAGACTATTTTTGACGCCCATTTTCTTCCTTTTCCTTTGGATATTTTACAACAAAATGGAAAACTACCAACAGGCCATCATATCAAAAAGCGGACTGATACTTAATAGCCTTGCAGGAGTTTATTTTTTAGGAATATTGAACACAGTCATTTTGTGTAAGTCAATACAGATATATAGTCTGTCCAACAGGAGGATCCCTGACAGTGACGTCTGTCATTTTAATTCACAGGAAAATTTTATTTTCTGTCATTTTTTGGATTCTGGCTGTCAAAATCTTCTCTGAATCGTTGGATAGACTATACCAAGAATTGAGTAGATATAAAAAAGAATTTTTCTTCTAGATCCAACTTACAGAACAAGATATTTTCAAGAATCTCAAGAAGGATTGTACGGAGGTACAATATTTTTGTTGACGTATAATCTACTTTCGATTCCATTTTCGTTTGTCTCAGTTTTGGCATCTGGAGCTATAGTATATCCGTAAGTAAAAACGTATTTTTTTTGAATAAATAAGTTTTATTTATATTTTGGTTAAATTATTCACAAGAATTTATCCAAAGTTTTATTTAATTTAATTAAAAAAATAAACTGATACATTTTCCAACACACATGCTTCAAGTGTGTGATTTTCTTATGAAATTTACTGTACAGTATGTTCCCAGATTGTCTTTATAACAGGAAAATAGATTAAAGATACGATTTGAATATTAAGATATGATTTAAGAGAGAGTAAAAACATTAGACGATCAAATCTATTTTTCCAAGGCTTCTTGATTAAGAATTAGTGTTTTTAACATAGCCATGACACTCTAGATTGAAAATTATAATAAGATTTTTTATTAAGAGAAAATGTCAAAAATTGACATGTGATATGTCATTCTATTTAGAATGTCATTTTATATCGAATAAAGTAAAAAAATACCATCGGTGCCATTTAAAAATCAAAAGTTGTAGTCATTTCCGGTGAAACAGGAAGTGCCAAAAAATAATTGAATATGTCAATCAATCTTAATTTACGTCATATACTAAAATACCAAATCTCTTTTTTTTTATCTGAAAAAATAAAAAGTTATAGGGGTGAGCCACTTTTGAGACGCACCCGGGAAAGATTGCAAACTGCCCAAGTAAATGTTTTTGAAGCCTCTTTCCAGAATTCACAATAATCTCACTGTAATTCAAGTCCAGACACAATGTATTACCGGATTTGTACACTTTGCCTCAAACCGATTACAAAATAAACAAGAAATATCATAGAATATACAGATAAAAGCGCAACAAACTCTCAAAAACTCAAATTTGACATGAGATATCTCAAAGGGAACTCTCAAAAAGGTGTTTCAAAATATCTATAATGATGAGCTTTTTTTTAATGCACGAATATAAAAATAGTACAATATGATCGAATAAAAACGGCGATGACTATGAAATGACGATCGATGACATTTCCCATATAATTTTACATATAAAATGACAGCGATCTTCATTTCATAGCCATCGCTGACGCCGTTTTTATTCGATCATACGGTATTACTACGCTTTCCTAGTCTTTCTATTGAGTAAATTTTAGACATCTGCATTAATTTTACTAGATGGCTGTGCTTTAAAATTTCTATGGTTGTCATGGTAACGAATTGTCAAAAATGACTGATACAAACAAACTTTTATTAGCTCTAAATACGAATATTGCCTCGACCATTAAACAGCAATATTATAAACAAATAATTAATAGAGAAAGTTAAAATTAGTAATGTCACAAATCATTTTAAGTATACAACATGTGCGTAAAGATTTTTATACAATAATATTTCAATATCACTTGTAAAAAATTTGTGTACTAGAAATTTTCTGTATATCTTCTAGGTTGATGGGTTCCTTCGAAGAACCAATGGAGTACCTCTATTTTTCCTTAATTCTATGGGCCTGCTATCTGTTTTCCGAACAACAAACCATGGCAATTCTTATGATAGTCAAGGATCATCTATCAGCGGCCATATTCAGTATCTACATAACTTGCGTTTGTCTCACTTTAAGTAGCGGTATCTTAAGGTAAAATTAAGGCTATAATAATAATAGACTATAATAATAATAATAACTGACCATACAGGGTGGCGCAGTTTTCCAAGAAAATATAGAGAAGTAAAAATCTCAAATATGAAACTAGATTGAGGCTTTTTTGGAACACTGTGATACTGGGTGACCCTGTATAAAATTTATGTAATTTAAAATATTTTAATCCAATTTTCAGGTCGATCAAGGGGCTTCAAGAATGGCTGTTCCATCTAACTTACGCTACTCAAGCCAGATATGCTGCAGCATTTTTGAATAGACAAGTATTTTTGCAGCCTGACTTGCACAATCCTTTGGCTTTTGATGCTAAACACAATTGTACGAATATGAATTTGATTGAGACGTCTTTATTGAATGGTATTACAAACCCTTATTGTAGGTGAGTACAAATATTATAATATACGTATTTATATCACATTAATGTTCTTAGATACTATAGAGTACTTTAATTACTTCCATTTCGATCCCATTATCTAAATAAATAAGACAAAGTTGGAGGGCTAGTTGCACCAGTTATTTTATAACTTAAGGACAGCTATAGTCTGTCCAACGAGAAGATCCTTGACAGTGATAGATGTGTCTGTCATTTTAATTTCAAAGTAGTTTATTTTATTTTACAAAGAAAAAAAATTGGTACAACTGGAACGCATAGCAGGAAATTAATATATGTATTTAAAATTTGACTGACAAGTGACTTCAAAATATTGTGAAAAAAAACTGTATAAAACTGAAAAAATGTAATCGAGTTATTTTATTTAATAAAAAACGGTATGTGTTAATACAAAACAAACAAAAACAAGACACCACATACCAAAAATATAAAAAGAACTATTTCTTACTTTCAAGCTTTATGAAACTTCCCGCATTTATGATTATATTTATCAATATAACTTATGTACAAATATAAATTTGTAATATTCCGCAGGAATAAATATAACAACATAAATAAAACAAAATATTTTATTAATAATAACACTTACCAAATATTATACCTCACAGGTTGATTAATTAACTTTAATCTTAATTTTTTTAAACCAGTACCGTTTGACATTATTTTTCTGCAGTACTAAAATCCATTATTTACCTATCGTGTGATGTCGATATTTTACAGCTACTCCAGTTTTTAGTATGTGTTTAGTATGGTCCTTCTACCATATTCGAGATGAACTTATCTACGACGATATGGTATACGAACTTTATTGATAGTAACTTTATTGGTGTATCTGTATAAGACTTTCTGCCTGGGCAGCGAGTATTAACCATAAACTGTGCTCTGGGTTCTACAGTTAATTTTCACTCGATTTTTCATCCACTTGACTTCAAAAGACATAAAACACACGTAATAACACGAATCAAAATGCATCATCTTCCAAAACGCAGGGTTGATATCTATTCTTGTGACGCAGGGTATTTGACAAAAGTTGTCACAAAATTATAACCTATAATTTGGCAACACTTTGACAAACGTCAAAAATCTAAAGGCGAGTTCATACGCATCGGCGTCCGTTTGTCGTTCATCTTTCCGTCAAACCAATAAAATTGAAATACGATCTGTCATTTTTGAAATAAACCAATAAAACTGGTTAAAAACAAGAAGTGACGACGCATGACGAATTTATATTTAAACCCATCCATAGTTAACTTAAAAATTATTAGAAACTTTTTTTAGTAAAATAAATAGATTGGTATGGGACATCATCTGCTTTTCTTCTGTCATCGTCTGTCGAACTCTTACCTGAGAAAAAAAAACAGAGTATAGATCGATTTTTATGATCTCTGATTGACAGTTAAAGTCACGCACGCTTATAGCTTATTTGAAATACTTGCCCACTACTAATCAGTGACATACCTAATACATAATAGATATTATAGAATCTTCGAATAAAAAAATTAAAGGAAGGAGCATATGAAAAATCTTAGATCGACTCTAAAATGGCCGACTTAAATTCCGGTTTATCAGTGCCGTTCTAATTTTTTTCAAAACATGTAAAAATATGATGTAGGGTAGACGTGCGGTAGACTCAATAATTTGTTGTTTTATTTTACGTTGTCAATAAACGTTGGTAGTTATTAAAATTGTTATAAAAATATACAATTCTAATAAAAATAGATAAGTTATAATAATTATTTATTAACACAAACATCCGATACGCTACTGAAGCAGATTAAGCCAAATTGACCTATCTAAATTCTTTGACATCTAATCTTTGACAAGTAGTAGTAAATAAAAGCAAAAATGCAAAAAATATATAAATAGTTAATTTTAAGTGAATTTCATAAATGATCGGTTTACTACACGTATGTATATTATACCGGGTGTTGCATCGTCGTTGAGAACATAGAGAAAAACTTTATCGATTTTTAAATTAAAACTGAATAGGTAACAATCAAACACCAGTCAAAAACCGACATTCCTTAAGTTGTCAGCGTCATTTTCAAACGTAACTTAATTTTAATAAAATTTTAATATTCAGTACTAGTAATAATTTATTGTTATACACATAAAGAAAAAGCGAACATGATAAAATACGCGGGAAATAGATTAGACAGTGTATTTGACATGTTTCTGTTAATTTTCCCTAAATATTAAAATTTTATTAAAATTAAATTACTTTTGACAATGACCAAATCATAAATAAATAAATAAATAATAAATAAATGCCTTTATTGTCAAAAAATTTTTCAATTTGCAGACAAAGGTAAACTAACAAACAAAGTAAAAAAACAAGGTATACAAACAAACAAACAAAAGATAATACAAAACATTATACAAATAATATTGTCAGTCTTATTGTTAAAATAAACATTTATAAATGTTTATAATGTCAAAGAACAAAAAAATAAAAATAATTTTCAAAAATATTTAGCTAGTTTATAGTAAAATATCAATTACCTCTAAATAAATTCATTTCGATGTCATTGGTAAATATAGCAATAGCAAACATTAGACCATTGTTTACAAGATCAAATTTGATTTTCAAAATATAATTCATTTACGGCGTAGAAAGCCTTGTCTAGTAAATAAGAGTTCAATGCTTTGCGAAATGAAAAAAATGATGTTTTGGATTTGATTTCAAATGGCAGGTGATTGTGCATTTTTTTTGAGTTGTATAATATTGAACTTTTAACTAACTCTGAGCGTGGGGTAGGTAGATAAAGATCTTGCTCCGCGTTCCTGAGTGGATAAGTGTGAGATGGCCTTTCTTGAGAAGCTGATACATGTTTACGTATTAGGCAAACGGATTCAAATATAAATAAGGAAGGAAGAGTCAATATTTTTAATTTTTTAAAAAAGTCCCGGCAATGAGTTCTGCTGTTTAGTCCCAGTGAATATCGAACAGCTCTCTTCTGGAGCCTGAAAATGCGGTCAATTTGGGTCGCACAACACGTACCCCAGAATGGAAGGGCATACCTGAGGTGCGACTCAAAAAGTGCATAATAAACAGTTCTAGCCACTGACAAGTTAAGCTCCTTAGAAACAGACCTTAATACAAAACAGGCAGAGCTCAATTTTTTCAACAAAGCTTCGATATGTATGTCGCATTTCAGAGAATTGGTTAGTAAACCTAAGGTATGTCAGTTTTTGACTGGTGTTTGATTGTTACCTGTTCGGTTTTAATATAAAAATCGTTTAAGTTTTTCTCAAATTACCTAAAATCGACTTGTCCAAAATGTTCAAATTTGGCATGTGTGTTTACCAAATGTAGACCTTTAAAAAGTCTATTTATGACTTAGCTATAAAATCCATAGGGGAGCCAATATCTGGACAGTTCAAATTTTGCATGGGATTTCCTATGTTCCCAACGACGATGCAACACCCGGTATAGTCACTTACTAGCGAAAAGTTATTCCATCATTTCATGGATAGCATTATATACCTTCCCTAATATTTTTATTCAAAGTATAGAATAGAATTATAACTCATCATACAGTCTCACAAAAAACAAAAACTGTTTTGTTGTATGTTTATTATTTAAATAATGATAAGATATTTTAATATTTTTCTATTACTTTAGGCACGCCAATGGACAAAGTTTTCTCTCGGAAAGATACACTAGAGACCAATCAGACAACATATTCAATGGAATCCTTGATTTTGACCTAAACATTGGTATAACTTTTGCATTTTCTTTGGGCATGATTATTTTTAACATGTTTTTGTATCTTATCCCACTGCCTGCATTTGTTAAAGCAAAGTTTAGAGAATAATAATAGTTTTTAGAAAGATATTTTGTATTTAATTGTAATAATTAATTGTAGTAGATGGTATATTTAATTATAAAAAACACTATTATTAGATATTTATTTATTTTTTATACATACAGGGTTGTTCACCACATACGACACGGAATATTGTAGCTAAACGATTCGATTTTTACAAATTGTAAGTTTTGGGTTCGTTGAAGGACTATTAGAGCTACAATTTAAAAATAATTTTACAAGATACAGAGTGTCCCAAATAAGTAAAAAATATTATAGTTGCGTTTTTTAAATGGAACACTCTGTATATTATTCTATTTTTAGATTCTACTATTGAAATAAAGGTGAATTTGATTAAGGTTTATCACACTTAAACCTTACCGTTTTTGAAATATTTTCAATTTTGTAAAATTGCAGTAAAAAATGTAAGGCTCCATTTCTCCAAGGGTATCAAAGTTTTTAATACTAAACATTTACTGAAGATTATTTATTGATCAGATATTGTGTTACAATAATAAAAACCAGACTACCTTATACAGAGTGTCCAAAAATGTATAACAAATAATTGCTAGCTTTAAAGGGCAATAAATTGTTTAATTTAAATGGAACACCCTGTATATTTTACATGAATTAGATGCACAATTTAATTGTCTATCAAATTGTATTATACTATTTTTTACCTATCTCTTAAGTTTTTGTAGAAAATGCTTTTTTTTATAATTTAGACCTCACTTATCACTATACCCATGGAATATTGACATTTTAGATTTTTTTAAAGCAACATACATATTTACAGAACGTACAGGTTGTAATAATAATAATATTGTAAGCCCATTTGTTTACAAAAAGAAAACTATTTAAATTTTTGTAAAAGAGTATATCAATTAAATATACCATTGCTTTCGCCCAAAAATTAGTTAATTACATACTTAATTAGTTTTTTAGTGATTAATTATTCTAAATAAATGTGGATTTGACTCAGAAATCAATGTAATAATAAGTTATGATAGTGAAAGTCTCTGTTGTTATAAATAGGCACTCGTCAAAAAATTAAATAAAATTTATAAGGTGTTACTTTTTACCACACTGTCTAGTACACATACAAAATTCAGTTTTTCAGTATTTGGAGCAATTATTATTAATCAACGCAAACAGTCAATTAATGTAGTTTGAATACTGGAATAATATTAATTGGTCCTCTTTAACAAATATTTAAACAGTTTTTTTTATTTTTTAATGAAGTAAACGAACTATATTGACAATATTAGTATCTGTACTCTTTAAAAATTTGGTAGATCTATAATCTAAAATGTCAGTATTCCATGGGTATATTGATAAACGAGGTCTAAATTATAAAAATATGCATTTTCTACGAAAACTTGAAGAGATAGGTAAGAAATGGTATAGTACAATTTGATAGACAATTAAATTGTACATCTGATTCTCGTAAAATATACAGGGTGTTCCACTTAAATTAAACAAGTTATTGCCGTTTAAAGCTAGTAATTATTTAATATAAATTTTTGGACACTCTGTATGAGGTGGTATAATTTTTATTATTGAAACACAATATCTGATCAATAAATAATGTTCAGTAAATATTTAGTATTAAAAGCTTTGACACCCTTGGAGTAATGAAGCCTTAATTATTTTACTGCAATTTCACAAAATTGAAAATATTTCAAAAACGGTAAGGTTTAAGTGTGATAAACCTTAATCAAATTTACCTTTATTTCAATCGTAGAATTCAAAAATCGCATAATATACAGGGTGTTCTATTTAAAAAAATACAACTTTGATATTTTTTATTTATTTGGGACACTTTGTATATTGTAAAAATATTTTTAAATTGTAGCTCTAATAGTCCTTCAACGAACCCAAAACTTACAATTTGTAAAAATCTAAACGTTTAGCTACAATACCCCGTGTCGTATGTGGTGAACAACCCTGTATATATTAATATTTTATTTTTGTATTTTACGAATCAAAAATAATGAAATTATTTTTTAGTAAATTATTATCTATAATATTACTAAGTCACGTAGTAAGTCTATGGATTAACTAGTACAATAAGTGTTATTAATGAATGCATTTTATATATATATTTTTTTATATGTTTTAATATAAATAATAATAATTTATATAATATAATAATATTTTATATTTTGAAATATACTGCCCGGCACAAAATTCCGCCACTCTAAAAATTTGACTAAGTTTGATGTTTTATAACTTTATTTTTTAATCCGATTTTTATGATTATGGTATCAGTATGAAGATAAATTTATTGGCATTATTTTTTTATTATTTTAAAGCTAAATCAAAAAATGAAATGTTAGAAACACATCTTAGATTACAGGAAAGTGTTTTTTATTCAAAATGCCCGTCCCATTTTTTCCACAGGATGTTTTGAATTTATTGCAAAAACCGAAGTTTGATTTACCCTGGTATAAACCCACCTAACCGAAGAATATAAGCCATTAAAATAATAAAAAATAATGTCAACAAATTTATCTACAAACTAGTACCATAATCATAAAAGTCGGATTATAAATTCAAAAGTTATCCGAACTTAGTCAAAATTTTAGGGTGGCAAAATTTTGTGTCGGTGAGTTTATAATATTAAAGAGGTTGGTTCTTCGGTTTATTTAATAAAATTTAACATTTATAAATACACAGTTTTATAGTGTTGAAAATATCTTAAAATTATTTAAAATATATTACTTTTCTTATGCAACTCCCTGTATATTTATAATTTAAATTTTAACTATAGATATTACAGTTTTAATATAAGATAATTAGAACTAAGTATGTATATTGTAATATATAACTATAATTATGAGCCTTATCAAAATCCGTCCACTAGATTTAAGGTGCAATACTTTTAAAAACTTATATTTAATAATAATTATTATTAGGATTAAGTATACTTGTAGAATTTAGGATTTAATTGTTTATGATATCACACTTTATGATAATATTGATAATTACAAAAACTGTAAACTTTTGAAATGTTTGGTTGTAATAATAATTTCTATTAATAGTATTTCGTAATATTGATAGTATAAAAAATATATTAGAAAGTTCATTAAATAAGTATCCTATTTAATAGTATTATGATATAATCTTTATATATAAATTTATTTTATTTTTTTTTGTAAATATATTTTATACGTACACTAGAAAAAATATGAAATAAAATTTATTATTATACCAGTGTTTTCTTTTTAAAAAATACTAAAATTTATTATAGTAACTAAACCTAATATGATTTTTCAAATTTAAATAGTTCTTTAATTAAATTATATAAATACAAGTTTCGTTAGTAGTAGTAGAGAAAAATACATCTATTTTTGACTCACCTGTATATTATTCTATTTTTAGATTCTACCACTGAAATAAAGGTAAATTTGATTAAGGTTTATTGCACTTAAACCTTACCGTTTTTGAAATATTTTCAATTTTGGGAAATTGCAGTAAAAAATGTAAGGCTTCATTTCTCCAAGGGTATTAAAGGTTTTAATACCAAATATTCACTAAAAATTATTTATTGATCAGATATTATGTTGCAATAATAAAAATTATACTACCTTATACAGAGTGTTCAAAAAATTATATTAAATAATTACTAGCTTTCAACGACAATAACTTGTTTAATTTAAATGGAGCACCCTGTAGATTTTACGTGAATCAGATGCACAATTTAGTGGTCTATCAAATTGTATTATACCATTTTTTACCTTTTTCTTCTAGTTTTCGTTGAAAATGCATTTTCTTATTATTTAGACCTCATTTATCACTATAGGTACCCATGGAATATTGACATTTTAGATTTTTTTAAAGCAACCAACATACAAAATATACAGGTGGTAAAAATAATAATATTGTAAGCCCATTTGTTTACAAAAAGAAAATTATTTAAAGCTTTGTAAAAGAGTATACCGATTATTACTAATTATTATTATATTCCGCCTATTATTTCCGCCTAACAATTAGTTAATTACATACTTAATTGTTTCAGTTAATAAATTATTCAAAATAAATATGGATTTGACTCAGAAATCAATACAATAATAAGTTATGAAAATGAACGTCTCTGTTGTTATAAATAAGCATTCGTCAAAAAATGACATAAAATTTATAAGGTGTTATTTTTTACCACACTGTCTAATACACATACAAAATTTAGTTTTTTAGTATTTGGAGCAATTATTGTTAATCAATAATACTTAGTTTAAAAACTGGATCATATTAATTAGTGCTATTTAACAAACATATAAACAGTTTTTCTTATTTTTTTTTAAAGGAAATAAGCGAATTATATCGACAATATTAGTATCTGGTACTCTTTGAAAATTTGTTACATTTTTAAAAATAATCTAAAATGTCAATATTCCATGGGTATAGTGATAAATGAGGTCTAAATTATAAGAAAATGCTACTTCTACGAAAAAGAGATAGGTAATAAATGGTATAATACAATTTGATATATATATATATATATATATATATATATACAATTAAATTGTGCATCTGATTCTCGTAAATTATACAGGGTGTTCTATTTAAATTAAACAAGTTATTGCAGTGTAAAGCTAGTAGACACCCTGTATAAGGTAGTATTTTGTTTATTATTGCAACACAATATCTGATCAATAAATAAACTTCAGTAATTATTTAGTATTAAAAATTTCGATACCCTTGGACGGCAATTTCATAAAATTGAAAATATTTCAAAAACGGTAAGGTTTAAGTGTGATAAACAATCAAATTTACCTTTATTTTAATCGTAGAATCTATATTGGTTTAAGTATTTAATACTCATTTCCAACTACAGCCTATTGCTGCCTTCCCGTTACCCTACGCCACACATCTCGATTTAGAGCGTCATCAGCTTCTAGGTTACGAGCTTCCATTGCTTCCGTAACCGTTCCATTCCAGGATTTTCTAGGTCTACCTCTCTTTCTTCTGCCCTGGGGAGCCCACTGAAAAACTCTTTTTGGCCAACTGTTCTCCGGCATACGCAGAACATGTCCAAACCATTTTAAGCTGGATTTTTCGATTCGATCCAGTACTGTCTCCTCCGATGCATTCATGATACGCCTGACCTCGATGTTTGTCTTTTTTTCCATCCTAGATATACCTGCACTTCTTCTAAGGTAGTCCATTTCAACAACTTGGATTTAGCGCTTCGCGTCTGCACTCAGAGTCCATAGCTCTGAACCATAGCAAAGAACTGACTCCACCAACGTTCTTCCAAGTCTCTTTTTAGTTGTTGCAGATAAGTTTCGGTCCCACCAGAGGCTGTTAAGACATCCAATAACTTGTTTGCTCTTCTGAATTCGGGTTTGTATTTCTTCTTTTCCCAAACCCTCGTTGTTGATAGTAGCACCCAGGTATTTAAATTTGTCTACTTGTTGAATCTGGACGTTATCATTAATGAAGACTTCAAAACGAGCGTTGGAATTGACAGCTAAGTATTCGGTCTTCTTTAGACTAACCTGAAGTCCCCATTTGTTGTATTCTTGATAAAGCCTCTTAGTCATGAACTCTAGATCGTATGAGTCCTGCGCAATCACGACCTGATCGTCTGCAAAGCTCAGGGTAAATAGTTTGTTGTCCCCAATGAGTATTCCCATACCTTGACATTTCGTCTTCCATTCCCTAAGGGCTACTTCGACGTAAGCGTTGAAGATCAGAGGAGATAACACACCTTTTGTGGTGTTAATTGGATTAGATAGCCTGTGTCCTATCTTAACGTACGATTCATTTTCTTTATATAGCTCTTTTATTATCTTAAGCAAAGGTCTATCTACTTCTAAAATATTCAAGACTTCCCATATCTTGCTGCGGGGAATAGAGTCGTACGCTTTCTCTAAATCAATAAATGCTAGATGGACTTCTTGATCTACTGCTATCTTTTTTTCCATCACCTGCTGCAGGACAAAAAGGTTATCTGTGCAAGATATAAGGATTTGGGTGCTAATCGTAGAATCTAAAAATAGAATAATATACAGGGTGTTCCGTTTAAAAAAATACAACTATAATATTTTTTACTTATTTGGGACACTCTGTATCTTGTAAAATTATTCTTAAATTGTAGCTCTAATAGTCCTTTAACGAACCCAAAACTTAGAATTTGTAAAAATCTAATCGTTTCACTACAATACACCTTGTCGTATGTGGCGAACAACCCTGTATATTTTTATTCCTTCCGCGTACGCCACTGCCTCATCTATTCCACCTGATTCCTGCCCATGGACCGAACGACCTAATCCGCCGTAGCAGGAACTGTCGACGATTGTCGTACCGTCAGCAGCGCACCGCTGCAACCGCCTCAAATCGGTCAGTTAAAATAGTTAACCGCTCCGAACAGGTCGATCGCGCTACCTCTTACCACTCTTACCACGGTGATCGTCTATCGGTAACTATCCGATCGAAAATCACGCCTTTGCCGCCTCGAGAGAGCGACTCGCGCGATATGGACCCGCTTTGACGCGATTTTCGAGCGGTTGAAAGTCGACGCGAGTGAAAAATCCAGTTGTGTGTTATTAATTTATTTAACGTTTTATTTAGGAGTGCCTTGCTTGTTTATGTATTTATGATTTCCAGGTATGTCGTACGTTATCTTAGGACTTATTTTAATCCTAGTTTATTATTTTAAAAATAGATATAATTTTTTTCTAATTGTATCTAATAAATAACGTAGGTGTTATAAATTACAAGAATTGTTCTTGTAACGCTTATATTGAGTCATTTGTTACTATTAGAATGTGTGTCATGATTTGGATATTTTTGTGGTTTAAAAGAATTAAGTTATTGGGTTTTGAAAGTACCTACCTACTATCTAATTGTTATGAGCGCTATAGGTGCTAATATTTTCTTAAGAATTCTAAAAAGTTGAATTAAATTTTTCAAGTAGGTATTTATAGAATACACTTCTAAATACAGCCAGCAATAAAGTAGGAATCAAAATGAATTTAGCAAAAACTAAAGTAGTGTACGACGCACTAATAGACAGGAAAGACATTCTAATGAATAACACAACGCTGGAAATAGTAGAAGAATATAGGTATGTATATATTTGGGACAACTAGTACACAGCTCGGGATCTTTATTATTGGAAATCAACAGATGAATTAAGTTAGCATGGAGTACTTATGGAAGAATGTTTGGAGTGCTTCTTTTTGAAGAAAACATTCAACCAAGTCTTGACCTATGCATGCGAAACCTGGCGTCATTATAAGGAAACCTTCAGGTCGAACAACGCTCAATGGAACGAAATATGCTGGGAATAACCAAGAAAGACCGTAAAAGAATAGAGTGGGTACGACAAAAGACTCAGGTAATAGATGTCATCCACAGAATCAAATCAATGGGTCCAAATACAAAAAGAGTATCTAAATCAGAATAAGGCCAAAAAAAGTTGAACCAATAGTCCTACACGCTTTTCTTCATTTGAAAAACTCTTATTTACAATTTCTGTTTATTTTAATTCAAAAAGATTGAATGTGACAATTTCATATTTCTGAGAGCAACGACGATTGAACTTGTTTCCATGGCTAACTAAGTGAAATTAGTCAAGAAAGATAAGAATTGGCTATAACTCAGTAATTTTGTGAAAGAAACATATTATAGCTTATATCGCTGAAAAGCTTAAAAACGGCGCTTTTTATGAAGTCATGGCCAACTATGGTTTCCATTTAAAAAAACATATGTTTGTGACATATGTCAAAAATAACAGGCTTTAGAAAAAATCGGAGAACACAAACTCATTAAGAATGTGATTATCTACAACTTTTATCTGAACACTTTTTGTCTAAAATAGCTTATAATGGAATTAGGGACAATTTTTAAAATAGCCAAAATTTGTTTTTTTCGAAATATCTAGTAAGCCATGAACTTTTTCAAAAATCTGAAAGGCGCATATTTATGACCCCACAAAACTGCAATTCTTTCCCCATTTAACCGACTCTCTATCTCCAGTAGTTTCCGAGTTGCCCATAGAGAACATCGTAGGAATCTCACCCTGTATACTATGTGCGTCGGCGGACTCCAAGAAAATCTCCTCCTTGAAAACGATCAAAATATTAATGGCTACAAAAATTATATATACTTGGGAGTTAAAATTTCAAGGGATAACAATCTGGATAAAGCCATTAGAGACATAAACGCTCAGGGAAGAAAAGCAATCTCTATGTTAAATGGTGTCTTGTGGGATAGTAAATCAAATATACAGCAGAATGGTTAAAAGCATCGCTTGCTGTGGCAGCTAAAAAATAAGGCCGTGCCCACCCTGGAAGCGACAGAAATGTCGAATGACGAAACAATTATTATGGTACGGCCACGTACAAAGAATGTCAGAGGAGAGGCTTCCAAAACAGATCCTCAACTGGACACCAACGGGACGACGAAAAAGGGTAGACCACGCAAGAGCTGGAGAGAAGGAATAGACAATGAGCTAAAAGAACGAGAGCTCGAAGACGACCTCTGGCTAGATAGGGAGCAATGGCGACTGGGTATCGGAAGACATCGAAGAACGTTTTAAAACCGATTAGTATATATAAACAGAATATTTAAAACTCATTATTAATAGTAACTTTACTCATTTGTAATATATTTTTTCTACGAGTAGCCCAGGGGGGTGACAGTGAAATAGGAAAATTGGAAACAGTCATTAGTGTCATTCTTGTCATTCTCCTCACGACAAGTATGGCCGCCTAGACAAGGACAGCATTGTTTTTGTATAACTATTGTCTAACTTCACAGTTTAGAATTGACAGATTTCAGTTTCAGAGACAACTTCAGATTTGTTCTAGAACAAATTCGAAAATATTCGACGCCATTTTAATTCAATCCGTTTAGTTTCGTTTTGGAAGTTCAATTTAATATTTCGGCTGAAATTTATAAATATAAAGGTGATAAAGTATATAAAATATATATTACATGAAGAATCCTGGAGAACATGACGTTTCTGCAATAGTAGGTATGTCCTATGTATATGAAAAATAGGTAGTAAATAAACACTGTTTTTACAATTTTTAGATGCAAGAAAATGGTGTTATAATCTCTTTGATTGGCGATTTTTGTGAAAATGGAAACAATTTAGAGCAAGGTAAGATCATTTTTAACTATTGCCAACATTAGTTATCTCCAGTATGTGCGATTTATTGTCAATAATGCAATAAATCGGACTGATAATCTGATTATATTATCCGACTAAAAGTCTCTTTTTGCTTCTTTTTGATATATAAGCCAGGTCTCTTTGAGAATAATGGGCGCTTTTTTAAACAGTATATTTATATTTTATACCTATTGATATTTTTACATTGTTAATTTTAGTATAAAAAAATTTGTTTTTCTGTTTTCAGGTTTTTGTATAAGGCTCCCGTTTTCATGTTCCTGTGTCCGTTTTCTGTTCTTGAAGTCTGCGATACGTGTGTTTATTTACAAATTACTGTAAGTCATGCTTATACCTTAACTAATTTACGTTAAAAGTACATATAATTAACTAATTGGTATTGAAACAATACAATCCTCTATATTTTTATATTTATTTAGTCACGTTGTTCCATATTTCAAATAAATATATGTGAATAAATTATTTTTTGGTTTTATTTATGAAAAGAAAAAATACAAAATACATTTGAACTGAAAGAGGGCCCGCCATTGAATAACCGGAAACGGAAATGAAAATTAAGCCACCATGTCCTTATCATGTCAACCTGTCAATTGGAAAATTAGTTCTTCAGACGACAACGAAGGCTTTCGGTGGCGTATCGTGTTTCCACGATTTAACACAGAGTTGACACTTCTTTCTAGTTAATTATTTTATGGAGTAACCTAGAAAATGCAGTTTCAGACACGGAAAACTCGATCTGAAATTGGCGTTTTGCAAACTGTTGTGTGCTAAGGATTTAGCGCACGACATGTGTCATTTTGCACACGACATGTGCCAATTTTAACATTTTTAACCTCCAATGTTTAGCTGAAACGCCAAACGCAACGCATCCGTCAGAAAAGTGTCATCGTTACATCGCAAATTATTTCACAAAACTGGCAAAAACTGAGTGAGTCTACTGCTAATTTGTAGATTACAGTTGAGAGTTGGAACCTTTGGTGTTACACAGCAAAATAAAACACTAAATCACTACAATATACCAAAACAAAAAACAAAATGATTATAAACTGTTAAAATGTTTATAATCATCTGCTGATGATGCTAACATGGTTAGCGAAACGCGCGTCCAGTGTAAAAGTAAAAGTGTTTTGGTGTATTGTGGTGATTTAATGTTTTATTTTGCTGCTAATTTGTAGTCGTAGAAAAAAATTGCGTAAAAAACTCGTTCGAAAACCTCTTTGTACACTCGTACGACTTGTGGCTGGCTCTTGCCTGCGGCTCGAGCCAAACCAAAACAAACTGTCGAACGTCGTTTTCGAAACTCGTTGTTTAATATACCATTTTGTGACTGAAAACTGACTAACAATGTCAACAAACTCAATTACAATACAAATAAATCAAAGACATCATTCATTTGCACCACGCCAAAATTCAACGCCTATGCATTCTTCACGTGACAAAAATGAACGTATACATTCAAGAACACATAATTAGCTTTCAGTTCAACATATGTACGTATGTATTAGAGCGTAATTTAAATAGTTTACTGCCTCGCTACTCTACCGCGTGTCCTAGAAATATGAAAGTAAAGAAGATCGAAGCAAAGTCTTTGCTTAGATTGCGGACTTCAAGGTGAATTGGCCGCGTATTGTCATGGAAATAAGGAAACATAAACGTAGGTATCACCAGAACAATATTGTATTAAGTATTATTAATGCCAAACACGATGTTTTGTCAGTGCGGCCCGGAGTGTTTTTTTACATCAAACAAATATTTTTAAGATTTCTTCATATGCACTCACCGGCACGAAAAAGGGCACCTTAAAATTTTCATGTACCTCTTTTAAAGGTTTATACTCTGGTTTATATACAGGGCCCATCGAACAAAATCGACAACTATGAAACTATGAACCCTTCCCGTACACAAACGGTACATTTTGAGACAGGAAATTGTAGAGAGAAACAAACCCTATAACACAGGATACAACATTTTAATGAAAAGTGCTTTCCATAAAATCAATAAAATGAAAAATATAAAAAATAATATACATGTACTGATTTCTTTCGAAAATCGACAACTATGAAACTATGATCCCTTCCCCGACACAAACGGTACATTGTGAGATAGGAAATTGTAGAGAGAAACAAGCCCTATAACATAGGATACAACGTTTTAATGAACAGTGCTTTCCATATAATCAATAAAATGAAAAATATACGAAATAATATACATGAACTGATTTCCTTCGAAAATCGACAACTATGAAACTATGAACCCTTCCCGGACACAAACGGTACATTGTGAGACAGGAAATTGTAGAGAGAAACAAGCACTATAACACAGGATACAACATTTTAATGAACAGTGCTTTCCATATAATCAATAAAATGAAAAATATACGAAATAATATACATGAACTGATTTCCTTCGAAAATCGACAACTATGAAACTATGAACCCTTCCCGGACACAAACGGTACATTGTGAGACAG